ACTAAAATTAAATTATTTATTTCATGAATATGTAGTTGAATTTGGCAACCAAACCATTAGAGTTGATAACTATTAAAATTAATTTTGAATTTATTAATAATTAATATTAGTAATATTTAAATTAATAGTAATAAATAATAATTAATATTAGTTAGGATTATAATTAGAAAAAATTGACAATAAGTTACCAAAAATGACTATAAGATACCAAAACGCTACTCTAACTAGCGTTCAACAAGCTATCTTGTATGCATCCAAACGTGTATCCATAAAATAAGCTAACTTATTTTTGTCAAACAATATCTAAATACATATATCAATACAATTAAATTCCTCATCAAAGGACAATGTAATTAACAAATAACTACAAGTTAAAAAAAATTATAACCTTTATTACATATCTCATGGCTAACTATTAAAAAAATAATCATACAAATAATATTTTCATTACTCAAATTCCTATAATCATACAAATTCAAATCAACGAATCGATTTTACATGAAGAAAAATACCAGTCATCGTCTTTGTGTTTAATGTTTATAATATAAGATTTATAAGGTTTGTAATAATTATATATATATAGAGGGTTGGGTTCATGTGAGACCAAAGGTTTTTCGTGATACCCGTGAGACCAATTTATGTTCATTAATCAACTTTATAAGCTAATGATCCAATGGTCTAAAGTTGCATGGTGGTGATTTTGTGATTATTGAGAATTCTCATGGTAATTTTGGTATTATGAATGTTCAGATTGTAGATCTAATCCAATGGTTGAGAATTGGTCTTACGGGTCTCACGAAAAACCCACATGATCCCAAGTCTCTCTCTCTCTCTCTCTCTCTCTCTCTCTATATATATATATATATATATATATGACGTTTCAAATGCAACTCATTATATTTGTACAATCAATGTAACCAAATTAATTAAAATATTTATAGAAATAATGATAGTTCATTTATTATAATTTAAATATTTATGAAAGATGACTAAGGTTCATTAATTATGATCAATATTTTATATTAGAAAACTTCAAAACTTTTATGAAATCACATATTTATCTAATTAAATAGACAGTTGAGATTGAGTTACAATAGTTATACAAATGTAAAGGGTTGTATTATAACTCACATATTTCTCTCTCTATGTATATTATGGGGATTTCTATTTATGAATCTACTTTTATAGTAATATAGTGAAAAAGAGTAAGTTATAAGAAAATTAAATAATATAATACTTTTATTAATTATAACTACATGTGATTTATTTTAAGTAAAGTAATTATTCATTTTAAATATATATTTTAGTAAGTTTTGGTACTATAACCTATTATTAGAAATTTATTAATAGTCTTTTTATTATAGTTTATAATTGTCAAATAAATATGCTTTAATAAAAAAAGAAAAATTACATGAACATATATGTAATTTATTTTTAAAATCTTCATTTTTCATATTTTAAGGTATTGTTCGGAAAATATAAGGTACTTACCTTTTTAAGTAAACATTCGGATGCACATAAGCTGCTAGCTTATTGATAAGCTACTTGGAATATCCTATAAAGATACTTTTTAACATTTTTTCCAATTATAACTTTCATTAATATTAATTATTCATTATTAATTATAAATACATATTAATTATTAATTATTTTTCAATATATTTAAATAGTAAAAATATTTATGAAGTTACATATAAATTAAAATTATAGATATTTTATTTCATATATAAGTAAAATATGTTAAATAATTTTAATAAAATATTTAAAAAAATATTAATTAATTAAGATACTTGAGATAGATGAATTTTATTATTTTTATATTATATGTAATGATTATCTGAAATTATATGCATATAGATTTTTTTTTTTAAATTTATTTTAACAAATTCAAAATTTATGATATATATAATAACCAATTTTTAATTATATTCGGTTAATATATTATATTATTTAATTTTGTTTGTATTAATTAATATATTATATATTATTAAAATTTTTGTTTTAATTATATTATTAAAAACTTATTTAGATTATATTATATAATATTGATAATTCACTATTTTTGAAGATAGATTTTTTGGTTATTTTATATATTTATAAACTAAATATCAAATCAAAATACCTTCTTTTTTCATATAATTAATATTTTTATAATATTTTATATAAAAACAGTAACAATAAAGTAATATTTTAAGGATGTTTTTCAAGAAAAATATCAAAAGAAAGAGGAGAGAGAGAGAAGATGAATGGCACTAGACTACTTTTTTATGTTGCACGCATCCATCCATCCATACATACATTCATACCACAAAAACACACAAATCACAAATAAAAACCAAAACCCTCCTCTTTCATCTTCTTCTTCTTCTTCTTCTTCGATGTTGCGAAAGTTTTCAGTTTTTGTTGCCATTTTCAACATGAAGTTCCATTTTTAAGCTGTTTCTGTTTTCATTTTCCTTCAGTTTGAAAACTGGAACAAAAGGGGATGCCCTTACCCTTTGAATTCGAGGGGAAGGGGGTGGTGTTGTTGCAAGATTTTGCTGTAAATCCATTTGTAAACAAGAAGCGGAAGAAAAAGTATATCAACGAGCCAACGTCGGTCCTGGATAGCATCAACACCATTCCAAGTCCACCGGCTTCTACTTCAACCCTGTCGTCTTCTCTCGGCGGTGGCGACACAGCCGGCGTGGCGGCCTTTTCTTCTAAATGGCCACCGCCGGAAAATCAAGAAACGAGTACCTCCAATGCCGGAGTTGTTGATGTTCATCAGTTTCAGCAACCGTCTCTTGACGAGAAATGTGTAGGGATGGTGGATTGGGAGACCGGAGAGTCCGGCCAAGATCAGGCGATGCTCCGGTGGATCATGGGAGATGTGGAAGATCCGTCTATGGGTTTGAACAAAGTGCTTCATGGCAACGGCGGCGGTGGTGGTGGTGGTGCTGTGGACTTTGAATTTAACGGTGGGTTTGGTGTTGTAGATCAAGGTTTTTCTATAGGGCTTGATTCCGGTAACCAAATCGTAAACTTGTCCCAAATCTCGAACAAATTCACCAATGACAAAACTGGTTTATCCACAAACCCTCAACTACCGCCGTCGCCGCCGCAGGCGATGTTCAGCAACCACCACCACCACCACCACTCTCAAAACCAGATCTTTTCACCATTAAACGAACCCCAAATGCTCCCATTTGATATAAAGCCACAGATGTTCAACCCCCAGTTATTAATCAACCAATCTCAGCCATTTGAACACCAACTTCTGATGCCACCACAACCCAAAAGACACAACCCAGGAAGCATAGAAATACCCAAGAACCCGTTTCTTGATTCGGGTCAAAACCCGCTTCAATTGCTTCAAAAGTCGCCGTCAATGAAGAAAATGGCAGCCATTAATGAAGTTGGGTTAGGAAACCAAAACCACCATCATCACCAGCAGCAAGGGATCATCGACCAGCTCTTCAAAGCCGCCGATTTGATCCAATCGGGGAACAATCCGATACTCGCGCAAGGGATATTGGCGCGGCTCAATCATCAGCTCTCTCCAATCGGTAAGCCATTCGATAGAGCTGCTTTCTATTTTAAGGAAGCTCTTCAATTACTCTTACATTCAATTCTCAACAACATTCATCCCCAAATTACTCCCACTGCTTCCCCTTTTAGTTTAATCTTCAAGATCGGTGCTTACAAATCCTTCTCAGAGATTTCCCCTTTTCTTCAATTCGCAAATTTCACTTGTAATCAAGCATTACTCGAATCCTTAAATGGGTTTGATCAGATTCATATTATCGACTTCGATATCGGATATGGTGGTCAATGGGCTTCTCTTATGCAAGAGCTTGCTTTACGTAACAATGGCGTTTCATCCTTAAAAATCACAGCTTTTGCTTCCCCTTCCACCCATGACCAGCTCGAACTCGGATTAACCCGAGAGAATTTGATCCATTTCGCAAGTGAAATCCGTGTTGGATTTGACTTTGAGATAGTCAACATTGATGTTCTTGCTTCTTCTTCATGGTCTTTACCCTTTCATGTATCTGATACAGAAGCCATAGCTGTGAATCTACCCATTCATGTGTTTTCGAATCACCAAACTCAAATCCCTTCTGTTCTTCGATTCGTCAAGAATCTATCTCCGAAAATCGTGGTTTCGGTTGACCGAGGGTGTGATCGAACCGATTTACCGTTTTCTAATCATCTGATTCATGCCCTTCAATCATATTCGAACCTACTTGAATCGCTCAATGCTGTGAACATGAACCTAGACTCGTTGCAGAAGATCGAACGCTTCTTGGTCCAACCTGCCATCGAAAAGATCGTTTTGGGTCGGTACCTTTTCCCTGAAAAGACTCAGCATTGGCGAACCCTCTTCTTATCCGCCGGATTTTCGCCATTGTTGTTCAGCAACTTCACCGAGAGTCAAGCCGAGTGCTTGGTCAAAAGGACCCCGGTTCGTGACTTTCACGTCGAGAAACGGCAATCGTTGCTCGTTCTTTGCTGGCAACGCCGGGAGCTCGTGTCGGCTTCCGCTTGGAGATGCTAAAGATGTCGACCGATCGATCAAAAGGTGTTAACTTTTGGCGAATTTTTATTTACGTTCTATGTTGCTAATCGTTTCGGATCCAAGAAAGAACAAGATACACTAGTTGATGTTCTTAGTACGTTGGATGTGATTATGAATGTATTACTGTTGATCTCGTTTTCGGGCTGTTTATGGCAGCTAAAAAACATTAATCTCGATTCTAATTATCTTTAGGTTATGTCTTTCGTTGTTGTAATCTTGACGGCAAAATCGAAATCATTTCGAATTGTGAAAAAACAACGATTCGTGTTGTCGTAGATTTGTTCGACCATGAGTGCCCATGCACCCACTCTACCGTTTACTGAAATCGTAGATCAAGTTTAGAGGTGCATTCGTTTTAATTTGATCTGTTAACGGGTTACAGTAAAAAAGAAACCACGTGGATGTTAAAATAATTCGCTCGTGTCTATTTTTATTAAGCCGTACTTTTTATAAATATATTTGTTTTATTTTATAGGATAATTATTTTGTGTCGGTGAGTTATTATGTAACCATTTTACGACTTACGTCAAGGGAACCATTTGTCTAATGAAACGCTGATGACTGACCGTCGATTGGCGGTTTAACACGGTTTTCAATCTCAAACTTGATCTGGTTTCGATCTTGGTTCGAGATCGATCTGATATCGATCACAAGTTACTGGTTTAACGTTCGTTCTCAAATTCGATTTTGAGCTCGATTCGAGAACGAATGTTTAAACCTAATGAAGCCTTGGGAAACCAATCACTTTTGGCATTTGAGAGTCTCAATGGTCATGGTCGGATGTTTTCCCCAACTCATCATAGAAAAATGTAAAATATTTTTTTGTTTTAAAATTACCATAATACCCTTTGGAAATTATTAATAAAAATAATGATGTTTTTATTTATAAAAATCCACATTTTTTGATGGATGTTGGGAGATATATGCATCAAATTTGGTGCTTTTTAAGGCTTAATTAATTAAGCACTAATTTTAATGACACTTCTAATCATATCACATGCAACTTTTCTTATTGGACCTCACAAATACTTGTTTATCCTCTCTTTTTCCAAAAAATCTGATTTTAGGAATTTTAAATTAAAATTTTTAATTAAATTCATGAATTTAAAATTCAGAAAAAGAAAATTAGGCTTGTATTTAAAAAGTCAATTATGAATTAATTAATTTTTAATATAATCATAAAAAACACAAAAATCAAATGATTTAGATCATGGTGTCTCTAATGCAAGGGGGAAGTTATGAATTATTTAATTACACTTTGTTTTATGTGAGTTCAAGTAGAGAGGGCATTTTGGTAATCTTTCTATTAGTTTTGTCTCTTTGCATTACCCTTTCACTATGCTATAGCTTTAATTTTGATTTAACTCCTTTATTCGGTTATATTTAGCAAATTAATTTGATAAAAAATCTAATTATTATTTAACTAGTTGTGTATCTGTGCAATACGGCAGGAGCCGTGAATTTTAACGGTTTTGAAGTTTCACTGGTTTTATTAGAAAAGATTTAACGATGATATAAGTTACATTTGGTCTTTACATATTAATACAATTTGAATAAATAAGAATTATGGTTTCCAATTACAGTCTATCGATGGAAAAATTGTACGACAGTTTAAAATCAAACATATTTAAACGACTCCACAAATTTGTTCGATTTCAACAAGAACAAAGAATCAAAAGATCGAGAGCGAAACCGAGAGTTCTAGAGCAATTAAATGAGAGATAAATGAGAGACCTTTTAATAACTCATGGTGAATATCAATTTAAATTTTACCTTGGGAGATGGGGAGAAGACATAGAAGTATGAGAGAGTGAAAACATGAATGAAATGTGTCAAAAGTATCTTGGGAATATGAAAAGAAAAATAATAATGTGCATTGGTAACTTGTACTATATGTTATTTTAATTGTAGATTAAGAGATTTTAAGACTAAATGCATAAAGTAGTAATACTTAATGCATTATGAGTTGTTTTTAAGACTTTATGCATTAAAAATTGTTTTCAAGACTTTTGATAAATTTAGTTTATAAGGTAATATAGATAAATTAGTAATATTTGATGATAATTATTTTTAATAAATTAAACGATAATGTAAAACGAATAATTAACTAAAAAATTTAAAAAGCACAATTATAAAAAAACATTAAATTTTATTTAAAATAATTTTTCAAAAAAATAATCCTTATAATTAAGTTATATTTGACAAACTAGTTGATTGTTGATAAGCTACATGGTAACTGATAAAACTATCAGATAAACTAAATACGTCTGATAAAAACTAGCTGATAAAATATTTGAAAATTGTAAAATAGCTAAAAAAGATATGTTTAAAAATTAGTAAATTTTAATATTTTATAAATACATTAAAACAATTCATTAATAATATAATATCATAATTAATAGAAATCAGATGGTAAAGAAAATTAAAT